CTTATCTATTCATTTTTCTAACTACCGACTATAGACAGAAATCATGCGTTGCTACAAATCACACATTACTCACGTAACTCAAACATTGGTTTAACTTCTCCACAATTTAGGAAGTTTTGAAAAAACCTTAAGGACAAGTGATGTTGTAATTTGCTGTTTTTCCAAAGCTAAAACAATTCTTGCAGGTTGGAGTGCATGTCACACTGCAGACATCTGGCATAAATCTCTAAAAGTTACAACATTATACTCAGTGTGAGGGGGCATGGATCTCTAACAGAATTATTTGCGATATACTACGTGAGTTCTAGTAACTGTTTTAATTTCCTTTAGTGACTACTGCTGTGAGACTTCTCTTGATATGCCTAATGTAAATGTTCAGAGATTCTTATTCAGTATTAACACTGTTGAGTAGATAATCCCATGGTAACGCATTGTACAAGCTAATTTGATCCATATTTGATACAATATCCCTTCGGTTCAGTCAGGATGCGAATTATGAGTAACTAGGTTCAAGAAGTGAAATACCATTTGTATTAATTTACAGCTCTTACAGCATGTTGCTAAAAGATGAACAAAAATATAAAATTAGATGATGTGCTAATAGCATAACATAACCCTGAATTTTACACATGAATAGAAATTGCTTTATAGAGCACTTCATTCCATACAAAATTTCTAATACCCTTTTTAATTAATGTTAAAAGTGAAAGTAAGGATAATTATTCTAATGAGAAAATAAATGTTAGCGCCTTAAAGATTAAATTTCAGTAAGCTACAAACATGTCCCACCTATCTCAAGGATAAATAAGACTTTTAAGTACTGACTTTATATAAAAAATAGAATACATGTGACTTGAGCATTGCAATTTCAGAAATTTTCAATAAAATAACTGTCCCTTTTTAACATTGTTTTGTAGTGAAGAATGTGATACAATAATATTCAACTACAAACAGAAGCTTTAACTTATTTACCTTTTGTTTTAACCTACAGGGACCAGCTGTAGGACTAGTAATGCAGTATTGTTTGCTGTCTGTGTAAAGGGACAAAAAACCTTATGTTTCTACTTAAATTACTGATGTTTAAAAACTCCTGAGATTTTTATTATTCAAACGGTTCTTTAACTCGTTGCAGTTAAATTCAAAGGTTTAAATTGTTGATTTTTTCCCTTTTTGCCCTTCTATATGTCTACTTACTAAAAGAATAATTAAGAGTAATTCAGAAAATTTAATCCTAATCCAGGTTACTGTAGTCCGGTGATTGCAAACTAAACCTTCTTTCTTTCCTTTTCCCCCTTCCTGGCATCACATTTGTGTCTCCCTGCAGCAAACTCATTGAGGAAGTCCATTCAACCAAATAATAAGTTTTGTTTTGCATAACTAGATCAACCATGTGACCTGAGTATCGAGACTATGTTGTCTCCACAGTGAACTGACTTAAACACATACAAATAAGCCCACGGGACAAGTGGAAGTAAAAAAAAGATCAAGTAGCGTATATAACACATGATGTGTAATTTCTCTTGATGTTCCTTAATCATCTCCTTTAGAATGCTCTGTATGTAATACTGTCTTCTTAACTTTGACTTAACTGGAAGTTAGTACCCAAAATGAAATAGCATCAATAACAGATAATAGTTATAACAGTGTGTGCTGGTTTAAAAGTTAACCAGCAAGGGAAAATGAACTCAATTCAAAAGAGAGATTTATAATTCAGAATAACAATTTATTAAAATAATGCAATAAGTACAATTATACAGACAGACAATTGGTTTTAACCCACAAAACCCAAATGTATAACCTAGCACCCTGGGGTATGAACAAGAGTGGTGTACCTTGGCCCACCCCCGAGTCCAAAGCAAAGGGAGAGGGGATAAACCTGCTGGTGGGAGAGCTGCTGCAGTCTGGTCAGAAGTGGTGGTTGCAGTCCAGTCGAGGGTGGTGGTCTCAGTCTGGTTGAACGCAGTGGTCTGCAGTCTAGTTGAAGGCAGTGGTCTGCAGTATTCCTCTGGATCCCACGGGAGGTGGCAAGGTTCTAAAACTCCCAGTTATATACTCTCCAGTTCAGGCGGGAGTGCTCAGTCCCTCCCTCAGAGTAGGGAATTCCATAAAAGGGCATGCGGATGCTCAGTCCCTCCTCCATAAAAGGGTATCAGAGCGGGGAATTCCATAAAAGGGTATAGGAACATCTTCCCACCTTGCAGGTCTCTACTGACAACAGTTTCTGGGAAATGGCATGGACGGCTATAGAATACACAGTTTTGGGTTGCACCCATCCAGTGATGAATTGGTCCCAGCCGTTCTAACCAGGACACAGTGGAACTTAGGTGTGCTGGTTTAAAAGTTAACCAGCAGGGGAAATGAACTCAACTCAAAAGAGAGATTATAAGTCAGAATAACAATTTATTAAAATAATACAATAAGTACAATTATACAGGCAGACAATTGGTTTTAACCCGCAAAACCCAAATGTATAACCCAGCACCCTGGGGCATGAACAAAAGTGGTGTTCCTTGGCCCCCCCCCGAGTCCAAAGTAAAGGGAGAGGGGAAAAACCTGCTGGTGGGAGAGCTGCTGCAGTCTGGTCAGAAAGTGGTGATCGCAGTCCAGTTGAGGGTGGTGGTCTCAGTCTGGTTAAGAGCGGTGAGCTGCAGTCTGGTTGAGAGCGGTGGTCTGCAGTCTTCCTCTGGATCCCACGAGTGGTGGAAAGGTTCCGAAACTCCCAGTTTATATATTTTCCAGTTCAGGCGGGAGTGCTCAGTCCCTCCCTCAGAGCAGGGAATTCCATAAAAGGACATGAGGAGGCTCAGTCCCTCCCTCAGAGAGGGGAATTCCATAAAAGGGTATCAGAGCGGGGAATTCCATAAAAGGGTATGAGGACAGGAACATCTTCCCACCTCGCAGGCCTCTACTGACAACAGTTTCTGGGAAATGGCATGGAAGGCTATAGAATACACAGTTTTGGGTTACACCCATCCAGTGATGAATTGGTCCCAGCCGTTCTAACCAGGACATTAGGTTATGAAACAAATAAAGTGCCTTTCATTTAGAAATTAAAAGTGTACAGGCATTACTTTCTTATGTTCTTTTAGCTCAAATGACATTGTTTCTATTGTGTTGCATAGAAAAATCAAATTACTGCAAGATGCAAAATGCAGAAATTATTCACCAGTGTTATATCTTTGACTTTATTAGCCTTTAGTATTCTAAACAAAACTAACTCACTCCTAGAACAAGTTATTATCAAGAAAACATTTTACACATCAAATGACTGTTTTTAAATACAAAAAAAGGGGGAAAGACGCTATGTATGCGCATAAACAGATGCTTAATCAGAATAGATCTCATTGAAATTTGTTAGACCTTATATTCCTTATAATAATTCCTCTTCAAATCAAGTACAGTTGTTGAACGTGACTACCAAAAAATGACAGACCGAGAAGTACACAGCCATCATCATAATCACGGCTAGGCTTCGCGAACAAAGATTTAGGAAGGCTCTATCCACGTTTGTTACAAGCATGCTGGTGGCTAATGAGGCCAATACGAGATATACATATCCGATTGCAAAAGGCACAGCAGAAAGACTCCTTAGGTGGTATATTCTGCAAGACACGATTCTTTCTGCGTTGTCTTTTCTCCTTGAGAGTGATCCTGCGTGCGATGGAAGCATTCTAGGAGACGCAGGTGGTGGCGGTAGATGACCCATGATTCGGAAGCATATAAGAGAGTAGACAGCACTATGGCTTTGTAAACACTAATCTTGTACTTTTCTTCAAGTGTTTATTATGCCATACTCTTTTATGGAGTTTTCCAAAAGCTCTATATGCCTTTGCTAACCTGTTGTTTATCTCCCCATCAATCTTACCATCTGAGGAGATGAGGCTACCAGGGTAATTAAACTGCTCGACTGATTTGAGCTCTGATTGGCCAATGGTGATATGGGGATGATGGAAGACTTCCTGAGGTGCAGGTTGATAGAGAACTTCTGTGTTCTTTAAGCTGACTTCCAGCCCAAAGAGCTCAGTAGCATCTGCAAAGCAGGATGTTAAATGCTGCAGAGCTGCTTCTGTGTGGGCAACAAGGGCGGCATCATCAGCATAAAGCAGCTCCCGGACCAGATGGTTTAAGGTCTTGGTGTGGGCCTTCAGTCGCCTTAGGTTGAAAAGGCTTCCATCAGTACGGTATCAAATGTAGATACCGTCCTGATCATCGAGGTCTACTGTGGCTCTTTGGAGCATCATGCTGAAAAAGATTGTGAATAGAGTTGGGGCCGCCCCCGGCGGGGGAAAGGAGAGAGGGAGCTTCGCCAGCATGGCTTTGCGCCCTCATGAGAGAGGAGAGTGGAAGCCTTGGAGCACACAGAGGTTTGCCAGTCCAGTTTAGGGGAGGGGAAGGGTCCCGGGCAGGTCGTGGGGGTCCTCGGACTGGCAAGTGGGCAGGCGGGGCAGCCCTGCATGAAGTGTCACAGGTAAACAGTGCGTGGGAAGATATGAGGTAACACGGTGGGGGGAGGATAAGGTCAGGGTGGATAATGGTTTCCTCTGGGAGGTTGGGGGTCTCGGCCGGGCTAGGGCCTTGAGAGGTACTCGAGCCCCGGGTGGGTACGGGGGCCGGAACGGTTTTGTTCATTTGTTTGTTTTTGGCTCACCTGTGGCTACTGCCCAGGTTCGGTATGTTCTGGATATATTCGTTACATCCTGAAAGGGTGGTCAGGACAAAGGGTTGTTCCTGGGTATTTCCTTGGGATTGAATATAGATAGGTGGCAGAAAAGTAGGAAGTGTAAGACTTACCTTAATCGTTTTAATAGTAGGAATGTAGCCTGTGTAACCCTATGTGGTTGCGTGCCGGGGTTTTGAAGTTGTTAACTCACTTGTCTACCATTGGTTTCTGTGTTGCCATAGTTATTATATTGTCTCCTTGCATTGACTAGCCAAATGGCCAATCCCCTCCTTTGCCTAGCAGCCCTTATAAGCTGCGGGAAATTTGAATAAAGCCCTCTTCGCTGCTGGATTCCTTGCGTGCTATGTGGTCTCTGTCTCCTGGCTTAAGTACCTCCGCCGCCTGTCCCTGCCACGAGGGACGGGCGGCGGGGGGATGATCCCAGCCCTGAAAACCTTCGCAGAGCGGCCGGCAGTGACCCCCCAGAAACCCCTCAAACAGCTACAGTTGCGAGCTATGCTGGCAATGGTACATGCCTTCGGTAGGGTCGCCCATGCCAGACAGGTCAAAACCGTAGGGTCAGATACAATATATCCTTGGGCAGGATGAGCTCGTTAGCCTTCTGGCAGTCATCCCAGGAGAAGGACAACTCTAATCCCAAACTGGGGCAGATGGAGCATGAATAAAGTGTAGAAATGAAATAACAGTTTACTAAAAACAGGGAACAAAACAGAACAAAACGACACCCACACAATAACAGAAAAAATGTCACCCAGAAATCATTTTTTTCATTTCCGTGTTGCCAAGGCAGCAACACAGTCCCAGAGTGGTCATGTGGTCACAACTGAGCTGAGGCAGAACCGCAGCCATGGCTGTTGTCCCAAGACAAAGAGTGCAGCGGCGGCAGTGTGGGGGGCTGCAGAAGCTGACACGGGGCTCTCCCTGGTCCATGAGGGCAGTGGGGCTCACCAGGCAGAGAGCAAAAGCGTGAAACTCCTGCCTCTTTTATTCTTCCTAGTTCTCGTGCAGTTATCATGGCAATATTAGTATAGATAAGATAGAGAACAGGTCTTTAATGAAGGTCTTCTGACGCAAGCATTACAAAGGCACGCACCCGTGTCCAGGGGTTCTACAATTTTATAGTACTATCCATCCAATCCGAGAACTATCCACCCCCAGATCCTCCCCAGAATTGAGTTGGAGGTCTCAAGACCCCTTTCTTCCTCATCTTCCTCCTCCTCCTTCCAGCACACATTATCTTTGGAGCTCTTCCAAGGTTCCGGACCTTCAAGGTTGCTTTGGGTACAAGATATCTTGTTGTTCTGACCTAGGGTGCATATGTTCTTAAACAGGATGTGTTTGCTAGAGACCTTCCTTGAAAAAGAACCTAAACAAGCTTAAAGAATTTAGAAAATTCGATATGGAACTTGAGAATATGGTTTGATAAGTGGCAACTGCTATTCTAAAGTATGAGGAACTACACAGCTATACTAAAAATCCATATTTACTACACAGCTACATTAAAATCTACAAAAGCTAAAAATTCAAAGGCATCAGTTATATTTTGTCTCCTCTATCCAGTTGCAGAGGGGAGTGATAGAGTGACTTTGATGGGTACCTGCTTTCCAACCAGGGTCAACCCACTACACATAATGACCTTTTTTCAAATGTGACTTAGGTCATGTTTGATTGCATGTAGATTAATGGCAAATTTGAAACCTTATGCCCACACTTTGATACTCATACAATGCAGTTTTACTGAAATCTGATTTTGGTAATGTGGTAGACTCAGGGCTATTGCATTTCAAAGTTCTTGTAGTGGGTTTCTATGGCTGGGTTTTGGTAGTGGGGGGGGCTACAGCGGTGGCTTCTACTAGAAGCTGCTAGAAGCTTCCCCTATCTGATGGAGCCAATGCCAGCCAGCTCCAGGACAGACTTCCTGCCACTGACCAAGGGCAAGCCAATCAGGAGTAATGGTAACGCCTGTGTGATAACATATTTAAGAACAAAAAGGTATTGCGCAGAGAGAATTTCAACCAGGGAAGAACAGAGTGAGAACATGGGAACATGTCATGGTTTGAAGCCCCCAAAAAGCCAATTTCAAGCCCCCCACAATTTTACTCAAGAGTGAGAGAAGTTTCACACAGGCACACCTCAACATGGGGGATTATATCAAAATTTATTACTAACATAATAAATACTATAAAACAATATATATACAACAATCCTAACTAACTCTCCTATAATAAAACAATATATTTACACAGACCTCCCTCCTTTCCCCTCATAAAGTCCAGAAGGAAAGAAGAAGAAATCTTTTCACTTTCAGGGCAGCACAGTCTCTCATCTTTATCTTTGAGGCAGCAGTGCCAATTTGTCGTAGCTGGAAAATCTCTCTTTCTCTTCATCAAAATGCAGGGGGTCTCTCACCCCTACTCGGCCCCTCGGTTCCAACCGAGGGTCTCACCCATGGACTGCGAGCAGGGACAAAACTCACCTCACCATGGTCATACCACAGAGTGCAGGGGTTAAAGCTCAAAGTCTTTATCGGAGGTCCGTATCCCCAGGGATCAAGCTCTCAGGAGACTTCTCTGGGTGTGTCCACCCCTCCTTCCCCGGGGTCAAAAGTTCTGGGGGGTTTTAGTTCAGTTCTTACCCCAGAAAATGGTTCCAGCTGGCTTCTCCTGCTTCATTGCAGGTCTCTGTCTTCCCAGGACGTCCCTGTGTCTCTCAGTCTGGCTCTGTGCCATGTTTGCTGCTCGCCAACTATCTTCTCTTGCTCTCTGGAATTCCTCTGCATGGTCTTTTTGGCCAGAAGCCAGTCTTGGCTTTCAGTCGCAGCTCTCTGTTCTGTGCTGCCTTGTGCTGGATAAGAAGACAGACTGGGAAAGATATGTTGCCTGGAAAAGCATAAATGGGATCTAAAGGGACCTGTTACTTGATAATTCACCCACCAGACTGACAGTTTTTCTCCAGTCTATTGTTGTGTGTTTATGAATTCTTATGCACCTCAGTTTATTGTTAAATTTTATGAATTCTGTCATACCTCCATATTGTCTCCCTTTCTCCCTCAGGTTTTCCCTCCAAAAGTTGTTTGTCACCCTGTCTCCCCAGTTTTCCTGCTCCTCTGCTGCTCATTGGTCACAGCCTGCCACCATGCAGGGAGAGCTACCATTGGCCAATTCCCTCAGAGACCCGGGAGTTCCGCCCACCTTTCCCCTATCCCCCTATCACATTTTTCCCTGAGTTGTCAATCTCTTGCGCCTCCCCAGGTTAGAATCCACCCCTCAAACCTACGTTATTTAAACCCTTGTTTCCCCCAAATAAACGGCATTGCTGCACGAGACCTCAACTGTGTCAGAACCCTTATTGCAGTGCCTGGTCCCATTTCCCTTCCCCCCGCGGACCGTGGCACTGCCTCAGCTGCCACTTTCCCCCCCCTCACTGCGAGGGGGGAAGAAAATGCAGTCCAGGGGTCTCCCCAATTCTTTCGGGGTTCCCCTCGACCACCAGCCTCAGGGAGGGCTCCATTCGGCTGCTGTGCTGCTCCTGGCCCCCTGGCCAGGACCGGGGGGGGCAAAGGCCCCCAGCCCCACTCTCTAACACGTGACATCTCCACTAATGACTGCCTCTCCTTCCAGCTACGCAATCCAAGTCTTCTTTTCCAGTGGGGGTGAATATGTCATTTCCACAGGGGCGAAAATAAACTGATTGACTCAACACCAAAAACATCACCCCTGGAACTAGCCACTTCCAGTTCCAGGGGGGAAAGCCTTTTTTCAAACCACGACAGAACAACAATGTAGACATCAAGGTCAGGTTAGTGCAGAAGGAGGGGGAGGAGGTGCTCCAGGCACCGGAGCTGAGGCCCCTGCAGTCCATGGCACAGACCATGGTGGAGCAGGCTGTCCCCCTGCAGCCCATGGAGGACCACCGGGGTGCAGAGACCCACCTGCAGCCCGTGGAGAAGCCCATGCTGGAGCAGGTGGATGTCTGAAGGAGCCTTTGACCCTGTGGGAGGCCCAAGATGGAGCAGGGTCCTGCCAGAGACCTGCAGCCCATGGAGAGAGACCCCCCATGCTGGAGCAGGTTTTTCCTGGGTAGAACTTGTGGCCCCTGAGGGCGACCCACACTGGTACAGTTCATTCGTGAAGGACCACACCCCATGGAGAAGTGACCCATGGGACAGCAGTTTCATGAAGAACTGATGCCTGAGGGATGGGCTCACACCAGAGAGGTCCATCAAGGACTGTCTCCCATGGGAGGGACCCCATGGGAGCAGGGGAAGGACTCCTCTCCCTGAGCAGCAGCAGAAGCAACAACTGACCCTAACTCCCATTCCCCGTCCCCCTGCACTGCTGGGGGGGAGGAGTGAGAACATGGAAGGAAGGACGGGTGAGGGGAAGGTGGTTTTTTTTTAAGATTATTTTGCTTCTCACTATTTTGCTCTGATCTTGTTAGTAATAAATTTAAGTACTATCCCCACTTTGAGTCTGTTTTGCCTGTGAAGGTAATCAGTAAGTGACCTCTCCCAGTTCTTATCTCAACTCATGAATCCTTTGCTGTTTTTTTTTCTCTCCTCTGTCCAGTTGCAGAGGGAGAGTGCGAGAGTGGCTTTAGTGGGTACCTGGCATCTGTCCAGGGTCAACCCACTACAGTTCTCAAATGTTTTCCTTAGAATATAGCTTTCAAAAATGTTTTTGAATCTGTGCTTCTCATCTCTTACAGTGTTGCAAAGTACTTCCTTTCTTCTGGAACCGGTGGCCCAGAGAGGTTGTGGGATCTCCATCCTCGAGGATGCTCAAAACCTTACTGGGCATGGCTCTGAGTAACTTGCTCTAGTTGACTTTGTTTTGAGCATGAAGGACTGGACTAAAAAATCTCCAGATATGTTGCTTTTCAACTTTAATGATTCTATGATTAGAAAGTATAAGCTTGTACTTTGATTTTCACTGTTTCTTTCTTCTGAGCTTCACCAAAACCTAAGTTTGTGACTTTTTGATATTCTTGGGAAAAAACCCACAACAACCCCAAGAACCTATTTCTTCTTTTCAATATATTTGCCAGCTGTCACATTGTTTTAATAAATATTACACTTTTCTAAAGGAAAACTAGATATAAACTAGATATTTGTATTTTAACAAAGCTTTATGTGAATTTCTTGTCTGAATAAATCACATAAGCACAAATTTTAGCTAGTCACAGGCAGGCAGAAGGTCATACTCTGGATTCAAGACCCCAGACCCTCTACATCAGTGTGATATCTGTCCTGTTAAGGTTCCCTTGACCTTTTCTCCTTCTTGTGTATGGGGATTTAACTTCAAACCCCCAGTAAGCTACATGACCTTAGCAAGGCAGTTAATTCCTAATATTTCTCCAAGTATGAACAATGTGGGTAGAGACTTGAAACTAGAAAAATGCTTCCTTTCAGAGCAAAAAAAAGAAGCAATGTTTAATCTTTCCTCTGGTCTGTCTTTCTTCCCCATCTCTCCTTTTGTTTTGGTTAAGTAGGCTTTGCGAGTGTGTGGATCCCTGGCTGGATGCCCTCTAACAATCTTTTGCAAAGAGATGGATGATAGTGATGCCTTAAGGTCCTTTTAGTTTTTTGATTTTTCTAATTTTTATAAGTCTTATAAGTAGTTATATAGCAGAAGTAGATTTTAGAAGAAGCAGCATTTTATTCCCTTACCCTTAGCATAGTAACTACACACATTCTCCAACCCTTTTACCCCAATTCCCCATATCAATACCCCTGAATTCCATTAGAAATGTTTAGTCTCTCTTTAAGATAGGCCTCTTCTGTTTGAGGACATCTAATCCTGGCCTGAACCGCAAGAGTACAGTCAAGAACTGGGTAACCATGTGCCCTTTGGGCCCTGAGGAGGATGAGAATGATGAAGAAAAGGGTCTCAAAGATCCCAGCCCTAATTCCCAAGGGGCGGACGGGGGGTGGACCAGGGCAAAAGCCAGAAGGTGGATAAAACCTGGGATTGGACAAGCAATATTATAAATTGTAACACCTAAGGCAGAAGGGGCGCACACATCTTGTAACCCTATGCCTTAGAGGCACGAATTAAATCCTTTCCTTATCTCACCTTCAAAACTAAGTTGTCTCAGAGTTTTTTTCTCCCCGAGTTTTCTTTTAGGCATCAATAGCCACTGTGAAAGATTAGATTGATTTACACTACTGGAGTAGGAAATGCTTAAGCTTCCTGACTTGCAACTTCTCTTTATCTTCTCTAAATGAATAGGGACTAAATATCAAATACTTCATTATAGAGATGATGGAAGAAATGGGGAAATGAAACTTAGGGGTTTTTTTCTTTGTTTTTTTTAACTTTACCATGAACTATCTAATAAAACAGTAGCAGCATCTTCAGTTCAAGCAATTGTGTCTTAGATTTATACTTTGCCAGACAGAGCTGGATATAGGCACAGGGGTGAAAATGAGAACACTGGTCATTGAGGTTTTCTGTTTTGCTATTAACAACAGCTGGATTGCTACTATGAAATCTTAACTCTAAAAGACACGATACTACAGCAGAAACTTCATGTGCCTTGATATTCTGTAGTACAAGTATGTGATAGTTTCAGTCTAGACCTTCCTGGAGACTAGCTTGTAACCAGGGAAGTACCCTATGTTCCCAGTATTCCATGCTATCCTTTACATAAACAGAGGTATAAATAAAAAAGGAAGAGAAGCCTTCACTCTCTTCCGGTGAGGTTCAGGAACAGTAGGTCCCTGCGTTGGTCTCGCTTATCTGAAGTTGAGGCCTGTAGCGACTGCTGTTGTCTGCCACGCGGGAGGTGGAGAGTGCTGACCAGGTCTGGCTATCCTGCTTTTCTCAAGGGAAGTGGTGAGATTTCATTTTGCTAGTTCTTTATTTTGCTAGTTCCCAGGTTTTTCGATTGTGCATATCTGTTTTGTTTTGTCCCTTTTCCCTTTTTCCTTCCCCTTCCCCTTTTCGGGAGCTGTTTGGGGTTCCTGTGTTTATATGCACATAGTATTCTCACTGTATATAACTGTGATATATGTAAAATATATATTTTTGCTATAGCTTTGGCTGTTCGTTTTTTTTCTTCCCTCTCTGGGAAGTAAGTTTGGCAGAGAGCCAGATCCAAACTTACTCAAAGTAGAATATCGGTGTTTAGTACTTCACTACCTTGTTTTCCCAGGTCTGGCTTAGAAAAAATTACAATGTAGATACTGCAATTTGTGGAAAAAGGTGCCAGTGTAATAGTCATAGTTGTGCAACTTGCACTACAAATAATAGGGGAGGATTTTTTGCCTGCCTTAGGGGATGTCAGTTTCTGTAGATGAAAACAAAGATTAAAAAAAGCAGTTTTAAGTCCCGGATACTGAGAATAGATTAATTTGTTTTTCTAATTTCTTTTCATGAGTAGGGACGGCTAATAAATTTTAAATAAGGAGCAATTTAACACTTCTACTAGCCAAAATATTGAGTATCTCTCTCTTCACACTTAAACTAAAAAAAATCTTATTAATTAAAAACAGAATATACAAAAATTGTAAACTTGTTTCCAACTCTTTGCCACCTCATTTCAAAACACTTCGAACAGGAAAATTGTCTTTATTGTTGTCTTGGTAAGCTGGCTTTCATTCAGATATCAAGATACTTGAAGACAG